GAGAGAGAGAGAGAGAGAGAGAGACGTATTGTGTATTCAATGATTGGTATAAACCTCGGATGCTACTGGAAACATACGCGAAGAAATTTATCCTCTTTTGTCCGCTCCTAGCTAATTGTCACAGGGGTGATTTATGTCACTCGAATTTTGCCCGAGGTTCATCTCCGTGCGGCAGTCAAGCCCAGCCTTGACTTCAGCCTTTCCAACACTTAGTTTTATTTTTATGGGCGTTTGCACTTAGAATGAAAATAGGCAGCAAAAACTGTAAATAAAGGCACACACGATATACAAGAATTTCTTCCCAACTCGTATTAACATGTGAATACAAGAACACAATAGCCAACCCTATGGCCAAGACAAAGAATTCCCTAATTCCCTGCCCCAAAATGATTTTCCCACCCTTAGAAAATGACTTAGACGAATTTGGCTTCACAATGCCTTAGACTAAGTTTTTCTGCCCCGTTTTGGACATCCTAGGCAAGTATTTATAAGGCTACAATCAGTTGACAAGCCCCAACTGATGGGAAAACAAGTTAAGACAAAGTACAAAAACGTGGGCACACTTTTAGGCCGTGATCAGCATGTCTTGGAAGAGGTTTCAATTGCCAACTGCTCCCCATGTGCTTTGCACATGTTTTTCAACTGCTGCTTGTGCACAGCATGTGCCTGATTTTCGCCCAGCTGTTTTGTGCCAAGGCTGGCATTGCACCCAACCTTGCCTTTGACACTGCTCCGCGCCAATGTCATTGCCACAGCTCGCCGCCCGTGGACTTAGCTGCACACGTTCATTGTCACAGCTGCCCGCTCATGTCAAGTCGCCCCCGACTTGATCAAATCTGCCCGTATCATTTGCCATTGCTTGGACCGCCTTGCCTTGCCTTGCCTTGCCATGTCTTTGCCTCTACTTGACATGGCTTCGCCTTGCCATTGTTTTGCCAACCTGCACATCCAAGTAAAATGCGCCTTGCTTCCGTTCAAGGTGCGTTTGTCGAACCCCGCATTGTCCGTCATGCCGAGCAGCCCATCATGATGTTGCCCAATTTTCAGGTTGTGTGACAAGGCAATCATGAAAATCCTTGTCACAACCCACACCTGCCGAGGACCTTTGTCAAGGGGCTAACAAACCACCCCCACCAGAAGAATTCGTCGTCCTCGACGAAGCAGCTTCCACATTTTTCAGCACCGCCATAGGCCCTAAATATGTTATTGCTTGCTCATGTTCTTCCTCGTTTGGCTCATCTTCGCTCTTTTCTTCAGCAAACAACGCTGAAATCCGTTCAATTCTTGGACAGTCCTTCGCCATGTGTGGTCCTTTGCAAATAAAATAGCCATCAAACTTGTTGTTTTGTCCCTTATTTGTCGAAGGTCCAGCACATTGCTTTCCCTTCTCATTGCCATTGCCCTCAACAGCATTACCCTTGTCGTTTCCATTTTTCCTCTACTCTTTTGTCTTGTCCTTGTTCCCATTTTTGGACTTTGAAGTAGTAGAGAAATCAGAACCATCTTGTCCCAACCGAAAATTACCCAACGTATCCGCAACAGCAATGGCACTAGGAAGGTCTTTCACATTCTGCCTTCGTAGTTCCATTTGCGCCCACGACTGCAACCCATAAAGGAAATTATGCAGCTTGTCTTCCTCAAACATGTTGCTAATATCTAGCATCAAAGAACTAAAATCTTTGACGTAATCCCTGACCGTTCCAGTTTGTTTCAACTTCTTCAAACGATCTCTAGCAATCCAGCCCGCATTGCTAGGAAAGAATTGATCCTTCAACTCTTTCTTCAGCCCTTCCCTAGAGTCAATCTTCGGCCTACCAGCACTTACATCATCTACCACGCGCGTACGCCACCACAACTTTGCATCGTCCACCAAGTACATAGTCGTAATGGGGACCTTGTCTTCATCTTGCACTTTGGCAGCATGGAAGTACTGTTCCATATCCCACAGGAAGTTTTCGAGTTTCTTGGCACTCCTTGCGCCATTGAACTCTTTAGGCTCCGGAATTCTGACCTTGGTACGATCTGCCCCACGCTGTGCTTCATCATTGCCANCATTTTCTGTTTTCAGATCTGTGCACTCCTGGCTCAGCCTGTTCATCTCGGCCTCAAGATAGGCGAGACGAGTCACGATAGTCAGAAATTGATCCCCATCAATAGTTCCGACGAGTGCCTCTAATGCAGCAACCTTTTCCCTCAGTTCTGCGTTGCCACCAGCCATTCTTCACAAAATTCAACCACTGAACGGTGTGTCTTCACCTCGATCCAACCACGCTCTGATACCAGTTGTCACAGGGGTGATTTATGTCACTCGAATTTTGCCCGAGGTTCACCTCCGTGCGGCAGTCTAGCCCAGCCTTGACTTCATCCTTTCCAACACTTAGTTTTATTTTTAGGGACGTTTGCACTTAGAATGAAAATAGGCAGCAAAAACAGTAAATAAAGGCACACACGATATACAGGAATTTCTTCCCAACTCGTATTAACATGTGAATACAAGAACACAATAGCCAACTCTATGGCTAAGACAAAGAATTCCCTAATTCCCTGCCCCAAAATGATTTTCCCACCCTTAGAAAATGACTTAGACGAATTTGGCTTCACAATGCCTTAGACTAAGTTTTTCTGCCCCGATTTGGACATCCTAGGCAAGTATTTATAAGGCTACAATCAGTTGACAAGCCCCAACTGATGGGCAAACAAGTTAAGATAAAGTACAAAAATGTGGGCACACTTTTAGGCCATGATCAACATGTCTTGGAAGAGGTTGCAATTGCCAACTGCTTTCCATGTGCTTTGCACATGTTTTCTAACTGCTGCTTATGCACAGCATGTGCCTGATTTTTGCCCAGCTGCTTTGTGCCAAGTCTGGCATTGCGTCCAACCTTGCCTTTGACACTGCTCCACGCCAATGTCATTGCCACAGCTCGCCGCCCGTTGACTTAGTCGCACACGTTCATTGTCACAGCTCCCCGCTAATGTCAAGTCGCCCCCGACTTGATCAAATCTTCCCGTATCATTTGTCATTGCTTGGCCCGCCTTGCCTTGCCATGTCTTTGCCCCTGCTTGACATGGCTTCGCCTTGCCATTGTTTGCCAACCCGCACATCCAAGTTAAATGCGCCTTGCTTCCGTTCAAGGTGCGTTTGTCGAACCCTGCATTGTCCGTCATGCCGAGCAGCCCATCATGATTTTGCCCAATTTTCAGGTTGTGTGCCAAGGCCATCATGAAAATCCTTGTCACAACCCACACCTGCCGAGGACCTTTGTCAAGGGGCTAACACTAATCCACAAACCAGACAACACCTAAAAATTTAAAATTCTCCAGCTTGCCGTAATAATTAGCATAGAATAATTTAAACCTTATCAACGTCATCATCTTTAGCATGGTCTCTTTATATATCTATGATTCTAAAATCAGAGATTAGTAACTTACATCGTAGCTTCAAGGTACAAGTGTTTTTTTTCCTTTGCATCATAAGCCTACGCCACTTCAGGGGGTGGTTTCTCTCCTTTTTTGTTTTTCTATTTGGAATTAGAAAGAGTCCGAGTCATAATTATTTAGCAAACTCATAGAAACGTCATCATCGTTACCCTGGCTTTTTGAATCTCTCAATCCAAAAGCATTTTTCTTCAAAACTAAAAGACACCTACCGTCTTTTCCAAGAAATACAAGACTAATACGAGCATTATGACCAAAACAAGGATAAAATATGAAGATTTTGGAGGAAAATAAGAGGAAATGTGTGTGTGCGTACGGGTAGGGAGGAGGCAAGGATAAAGTCTGCGTACACTCTATCCTCCCCGTACCTCACTTGTGGGACTACGCTGAGTTTGTTGTTGTTGTGCGTCTTTCTTTGTGAACCCTTGAAGTTTTCTATGCTTTGTAGCTCTACCTACTTCCTCTCTTGTATAAAATCATTTCACAGCTTGTACAAACAAGCTCGAGCCAAAGTTACGCAAAAGTGCAAAAAACAAAGAAAAGATTGAACAAATGAAAAAGGATTTTCTTCAAATTGACACCTCATATATTCACAAAACAATGCCCTTGCCTTCACTACAAAAACTTTTACCCAGAGCAACGCCCTACCATTCCATCTTCTCTGGTAGATATATACCAAGCTTATGACTTCTATTCTAAATTGTAGAGCCTAAAAAATAACTTACCTGAAGGCATAAGCCTTATACTACGATCTTTCTTGCATCTCTATGGGGACTCATCGAGCAAAATTCACAGCTCGGAGCCCTCAGCTGAGTACTAACCTATGTCTAACCACTGTTCAAGTCACCAATCACCAGGAAAAAGAAACCCACCTACTAGTCCGTCCTTGCTCTTCCAAGTTCGCGAAATGACCTCAATCTGCATTTACATCAGTCCTGAGAACTTCTAAAACTGTTGCATTGCAAAAGAAGCATCTCTCACAATTCAGGAGGTGTCTGGAAATGCAGCCTAAGCAAGAAACATGAGAACAGGGCACAAATTGAGCATTTGCTTGACATGCATAACAGATGCAGCAGATGCTGTCATCATAATCTGTTTCGCCCCCATATCCTATTCTCTCAAGTTCTACCACCTCTGACTGACAGATTAGCAGACTTGAAAATTTCTCCAGTTGCCTGATTTTCTTCAGATAATCATCTCCCCTGAATAAGCTAGCCTGGAGTTCGTGAAAACAAAGTTAGAATACAGATGAAGCAACCCACATATAAGCATATTCATCTCTCCCTTGGTTTTCTGCTTTTTAATCAAAAACCATAGTACCTAGGAAAAGTAAAAAATGGAAGCAATTTCGTTGGTATAGAAAATAAATTTGGGTCGAGGAAATAAAATCAAGACCGAAAAATATCGCAACAATCGTAGCATTTGATTTCAAATATTTGAGTGTTACAATCTCTGTGAATCCTCTAATTCTTCTTTCCAATAGTAAATATATTCAAGGGTTTTCGAGCTTGATCTTGAATCTATATTTGTTGCCACGAACGATGATCTTGAATTCAACTAGCACGAACTTTGATTTGAAGTCGTACTCCTTAAACCTTGATTTGTTCTCCGTTCTTGAGCTTGAACTTGATTTGTTCTTCGTTCTTGAGCTTGAACTTGATTTTTTGAACTTGAACTTGATTGCTTGATGCTTGAAACTTGTGGAGGAATTTGCAGCATTTGATCCACGAGCTCTTTCTCTCTTCTTGTTATAACTTATGGTGTTCGATTTGCAGGAGAAAGAGATGAAGGGCATAACTAGTCCCATTGGGCGTGCCAATTTGTTTGCAACTAATTTTCAACATATGTGTAATGACCCGGCCGGTCGTTGCGAGAGTTATAGCCCTGTTTCCCCATTTCTGCTTCTTTTTGTTCTTCAGCTATATTATGATGTGTTAGGTCAGTTGGTTCGGGTCTGGAGTGGTTTCGGAGAGGATTTGAGACACTTAGTCTTTTTTGTGAAGGCTTAAGTTGATAAAGTTGACTGGATGTCGACTTATGTGTAAACAACCTTGGATTTGAATTTTGATGGTTCTATTAGCTCCGTTAGGTGATTTTGGACTTAGAAGCTCGTCCGGAATGGGATTTGGAGGTCCGTGGTAGAATTAGACATGAATTGGCGAAAGTTGGAATTTTGGCGATTTTGGTTGGCTGTGAAAATTTTGATATCGGGGTCGGAATGAAATTCTGAAAGTTGGAGTAGGTTCGTGGTGTCATTTTTGACGTGTGTGCAAAATTTCAGGTCATTCGGAGGTGATTTGATATGTTTCGGCATCGTTTGCCGAATTTGGAAGTTTAGAAGTTCTTAGGCTTGAATCTGAGGGTAAATTGGTGTTTTGAGTGTTCCGAAGATTTGACTAAGTTTGTATGTTGATATATGACCTGTTGGTATGTTTGGTAGAGGTCCCGAGGGCCTCGGGTTGATTTTGGATGATTGACGGAACAAGTTTGGAATTGGAGGAATGCTGAAGTTGAACTCAGCTGTCATAACCGCACCTGCGGAAAGGGAACCGCATGTGCGAGTCAAGCAGAAGCGAAGAAGGAGCCGCAGATGCGGCCAAGGTTGAGGTAGGTAGGAGCCACATGTGCGATGGATGGGTCGCATCTGTGAGCCCACAGATGCGTCATTCTGACTGTAGAAACGGATTTTGAGGGAGTAAATGGGATCCGCACCTGCGATGGATTTTCCGCAGGTGCGGCGTCGCAGAAGCGACAGTTGGACCGCCGATCTGGAATCTCTGGGCAGAAAGTATAAATTTCACACTTTGTGAATTTTGGTCCATTCTTCACCATTTTTAGTCAGTTTTGAAGCTTTTGGGAGTGATTTTGAATAGGGATTCAAGGGATTATCAGTGAGGTAAGTTGCTTGAGCCCTAATACTCGTATATTTGGTGATTTCCCGTTGTTTAATCATGTAATTAGTGAAGATTAGTGGTGAAAATGAGGGGTTAGGGCTTGGGATTTTGGAGAGTTTGATTTGAGGATTTGAGGGGCCAAATAGAGTCGGATTTTGGTGAATTTCGTATGTATGGACTCGTGAGTTCATGGGCTTTCTAGTTTTGTGATTTTTGTCGGATTCCGAGACGTGATTCCGGGTTTGGGTGAATTTCGTGATTTGTGTCCAATTAAGTAAATTTTCATGTGGAATTGGTTCCTTGGCCTATATTGATTGCATTGTATTGCTTTTGGCTAGATTCAGGACGTTTGGAGGCTGATTCGAGAGGCAAGGGCGTCGCAGAGTAGGATTTTGGCTTGATTGAGGTAAGTAACGCTTCCAAACTTGGTTCTGAGGGTTCAAAACCCCGAACTATGTGTTATGTGTTTAGTATTGAGGTGACGCACATGCCAAGTGACGGGCGTGCTAGCGTGCACCATGAGAATCGGACCTAGTTTATTCCATGGCACCGTTTAGCGACTCTTTCTTGCTAATATTCGTGTTTCCATCATGTAATTAAGTAAATGAGCTGTAAATCATGCTAGATATCATGTTATGACTTACGCCGATACTATTGGGACCCATGTGATCTTTTCTTGCTGTCATCTCACTAGTTTCATTGATATTCTGTACTCAGTCTTATTCATGCATTTCACATCATGTCTCAGTCTTTGTTGTTATTCATCGGCACATCATATCATTGTTCCGGGCTAGTTTTCATGGCATTGTGAGCCTGTGTGTGAGATTGGAGAGTGATGACTGAGTGAGTCCAAGAGCCTAATTGTGAGTGATAGTTATGAGATCGGGTTGTGATCGGCTCCAACCCTGCACCACTATATAATGGCGAGGAGTGGTCGGTGCAGATTTTACCTGAAAGTTGGGATCGATATCCACAGGGAGTTAATATTGGTTGGGAGTTGAGTTTCTATCTAATCTAGCTATGCGTGTTGCTTTTAATTGCACTTCTAACTATGCTTGGATTTGTTTCTATTCTACGTTTAATGCTATTGATTGCTGAAAATAATCTAAGTACAATGTTTTTGTAGGAGTTTTCTCAATTGATAAAAAAAAAAGCACTAGGGAAGTGACTTACACTTAGGCGAGTATCTAATGGGGTCTAGAATTTAGGACAACCTAGCAGTTCAAAAATAAGAGAAAATGACTCTGTAGCCCATCCGAAACATACCGAGGCCCCCGAGACCCCGTCTAAACACACAAAAAGTCTTATAACCTAACACAGACTCGCTCGAAGTCTCAAATCACATCAAACAACGCCGAAACGATGAATCACACCATGAATCGAACTTATGAGCTTTCCAATCTTCCAACTTCTAAAACTCGTGTCGAAACCTATCAAACCAATCCGGAATGACGTCAAATTTTGCAGACAAGTCTCAAATGACATAACGGAGCTGTTCCAACTCTCGGATTCGCGTTCCGATCCGGATATCACAAAAGTCAACTATTGGTCAAACTCTTCCATCTTCCAAACTTCAACTTTTCCAACTTTCGCCGAATGGCTTCAATTCAACCCACGGACTTCCAAATCCAATTCCGGACGCGCGCCTAAGTCCAAAATCACCACCTGAGCCTATCAGAACCATCGAAACTCCAATCCGAGGTCAAATACTCAAAAGTCAAATCTTGGTCAATTCTTTCAACTTCAAGCTTCTCAAATGAAAGTCACTTCTAAAAATCCTTTTCGAACTTCTCAAAAATCCAAACCGCTGATGCACGCAAGTCATTAGGGGTGTACATAGGTCGGGTTGGTTCAGATTTTACAATTACTAAATCAAACCAATTGTGTCGGGCTATTAAATCTAAAGACCAAACCAAACCAATAAAACTCGGGTTTTTCAATCTCAGTTTTTCTCGGGTTTTTCAGATTTGTTTTCCCGGTAAAATCTTCGTAGAACAAAACATATAATTTGTGCTCAAAATATTTCTTTAATCCTAGTAAGATACAACTATATAAAGTATTTTTCAAGAAAATAACGCAAAATAAGAGATATATCATGGCATTATTCTAAAATATTCAACAATAAAGACAATAAAATTATGTAATATAAATATTGCTAATTAAAAAGCCATAATAAAAAAACACAATCTAAATGTATTCATGCTAAAATACGTAGACTAATAAGGGAGTATTAATTACATAACTAAACGCTAAAGAAAAAATAAAAATAGGTTATGCATTTTTATTTAAATTATTGCAAAACAAAAAATAGATATTCAATACATTCTCATTCGTAGTATTGAACTGAATGTCTTTTGTTAGCATTAGTATTGATTTGATTTTGGTTTCGGCTTTTGTTAGTATTATTTAATGTACTAATATTAATGGCTATAAAACTTATTGGAATATTCAAAAGTTCTAAGTCCAACCTTAAAATAATAACTTAAAAGATAAAATTATGAAATTTTTTAAGAAATATTTATAATAAATATATTTATATAGTATTAAATATATCTAAAATTTCTACATATGTAATGTTGGGTTGGTTTGGTTTTGGTTTGACTTTCTTTAGTTAAAACCAAACCAAACCAATTGTGGTCGGATTTTTTTTCCAACAATAAACCAAATCAAACCAAACCATAGTCGGATTTTTTTTTCTCGGTTTGACTCGGATTATCGGGTTGGTGCGGTTTGTCGGTTTCCTCTGTACCCACCTAGAAGTCATAATACACTGTGTGAAGCTACTTGTGACCTCAAACTACCGAATCGGACGTAATTTCTCAAAACAACCAATCGGATCGTTACAGGTTAGCCCATGAAACAAGTTAACCAAACATCTAGCCTTTGAGCCGCCTACAAGTTGGTAATTCATCAAAACATTTACCTACTCGAATCCTACCCCCACTATCACCACGATTTGCTAGGGCCGTCAACCTCGCCACTAATTTCAAACCTACTATATCATGAAATACATTCTCATGAAGAGAGACAGAACATATAACTGATCTGACAATCCAGCACATAAAACATGAAATTCGACTTCTGTTCTTCACCCTCAAGCAGTAACTATCAAATTCACATATGACATCTTAACTAGGGGGGGACAACAGAGATAGATGAGATTGTAAGATCTAATAATAATTCCCAAGAAGCAAGCTCTAATTTAAAAACTCTAATCACTTGCGTTGAACGATAAATACTTGCTTGTATCGGATGTTTACTATACCAAACTATATTAATTTACTATTAGTAAATGAAACAAATGAAAATGCATATAATTAACCATGGTTAAATGCTTGAAATTCATGTATAAAGCATATCATACGGTGTAAACATCGAGTAGAATAAATTTTACGCTCCTAGGATACAGCAAATCAGTTCTAATAACATATCCACTCTAAAATATGCTTCAAATATATACTCATCGCCTAATTTAAGATTAGAAGATCTAATAATTATTACTAGGAGCTCTAATTGCAGAATTGTAATCATTTGCGTTGGATGAAAGAAGCCATGCGCTTGATGAGATATTTAGATTTCTCAGCTTCAGGATTAGCAGCCTGAAAGCAATGACCTTCACCTTCAATCTCAATAAAATCTAATTCACCTTTCCATCCACTGTTCTTCACAGCTACAGCGAATCGACTCACAATTTCACTGGGGACAAGCTCATCTTTATCTCCTGCACACAAGAAAAGCCTTGAGCAACCCAACTCTGACAAGCTCGGGCCATTTTCTGAAACTGGACTAACCACTGGGCTATTAATTCCCTGTTCAGATGGTGGACAAATAGTATTCCAAAGCTTGTAAATCAAAGACCCCTCAATGTTTTCGACTGATGGGATCAAGAAGAAAGGGAAATCAAAGATAGCACCAACGAGTTTCACGCATCCAATTAAGCTCTCTTTACCAGCTCTCATGGTCATGTTAAAGACAATATTACCACCAGCACTATCCCCGGCTATGAATAATCTGTTAAAATTTCCATGGTTTGCTATCCATGGTTCGGCATCATTATCGGCGGCGTGTGAAGCGACCCACTGAAGGGCATCCCAGCAGTCTTGGTAAAGTGTTTTGGACTTTAAGCCATTGAGCTTTAAAGTGGAAAAAGTGTGAATTGAAAATGGAGGGAAATAAAATGGAGGGAAAATGAAAATTTGAAAAAGTGAACTTTTGTCTTGTACTTTGTCCCTCATTGGTGAGGGACAATCACATTTGTATGCTTATATATAGATTCACTTCTTAAAGCTCTTAAAAGGAGTTGAAGAGAATGAACTCTCGCGCCGTCGTCGTCGCTCGCTCGGCTTCGGATTTGTCAAATGATCGATAAGATTTATTTAATTATTTAATAATTAATTAAATGCCAAATCACTGCTAAAAATACGCCAGAACCCTGCTGAAAGTTCAGAGGGCCTCGCTGGCCGCGGTTCTGCCGCGACCGCAGTAGAATCGCGGCAGTCAGATTCAGAGAGCCTCTCTGGCCACGTATTTTCTGAAAAGGCACCTTTCCAGACACCTCTTCTGATATTTTCCTATAAATTCTNCTTAAGGAATTTTAATTTACTAACGTTTCTGTGTTGATTATTAAACTGTTCTCTATATACTTTGTTGGAGACTAAAGCCTTGTTGCTTTCTACTCCTATAATTGTTTCTGTCCGGTTTAAAGTACATACAAACTTTGTCGGAATAATAAACATACGGATTTGAAGTATATAAAAACTTCACCATTGTTACGTGTTCTATGTTTGGTTTGGTATTCAGTTTGAAGATATCAAAACTTCACTGATTTAACAAGTTCTGTATTATTTTCAACTTTACAGAAATATGACGAATGAAAACCAAACTAATGGAAGTGTTGAGGGAACGGGTGCTACTGTTACGAGTGCTGCTGCCTCTTCAAGCCGTTCTACTCCTGCTCATGCTATGGCACCGGCAGAAAAACCCGGAAAGTTTTCCGGTATTGACTTCAAACGCTGGCAAATGAAGATGCTCTTCT